ACTGACGGTGAAGATATACATATGACACATATCTACCATAGAATTGTCTTTCTCCCCTGAAGAAGCCCTTTCAGGGCGAAACATGTAGGGACCTATAGGAGTGCTTATACCATTCTCATAACAAGCAACAACATACATCGTAACTGCACAGTATTGTTACCAACTGGTGAACCTGCATATGTATATGTATTTTTATTGATGATTATGTATTTTGTTTTTTATCTGAAATAATGTATACTACGAGTTATTGAATAAATGTATTTCTAAAATTTTTATACAAGAGGTCTGGACTTGTTTCTTAAAAGCCCCCTTTTTTTCCTTTTCCCTCTGGGTCTTTGCACACCCCACTGTGGAAACAAAAAAATTTTCTTTCTCGCTATCTCATATATTAGTTTCACCTTTTAAGTTGCATTAGTGAAATAAATGAACTTTGCACGATATTCTAATTATTCGAGTTTCACCTGTATGTTCTAGTCCAAGCATTTGCTGCCATTCTGCATTAGTATTAGAGAAAAAGAGACCACCAAGACACCAGCATAGTCTAAAAGACTAGGGAATAGGTTCACTTGCCTTATATGGAGTCAGTGCCTAGGCAGTAGGCTTGGATGTGGCAGCAATAAAGCCTCAATATTTACAAATTGTGAAGACTTTTTCCTTATCTCATTTCCCTTTTCTGATCATCTTTGGACATTGTGGCTAAATTCAGCAAGAGGACTGTAAGGGAAGAGGCTGCAGAATATGATGAGAGGAGTCAAAAGATTCACTATAGTAAACATGAAACCACCTTTCTTTTGACTTGTTTGGTGCTAATTAAAATCAGAATGTATGCGGCCTCCAACATTGCACTTTAGCCTTAGTTTTTATGAAAACAATCACAACACAATAAATAATCATGAGGTGGTGCCTGCACAAAAGGGGTGACAACATCCAGGTCTGCCTGGTGTCGTCTGATGTCTAAATATGGCCCTAGGCATAAGATCATCACTTAAATTGCCTGAATTTTGTAAGCTCAATAAGGGTCTAAGGTCTGTTTTAGGTCCTTCTGTGGAGATGTCCCTGACAGGGTATCATAGAAATGAGCTAATGATATTATCAGTAAGAAATACATGGAAAAAAACCCTCTTCTAGATATAAATGTATTCAATCACAAACCTGTCACCTACACAGACATCTCAACTCTCCTGGATATTCCAGGAGTCTCCCGCTATTAGATAATGGCTCCCGGACACCCCGGAGAGAAACATTTTCTCCCGGAAAGGTTTATTCTGCTCGTAACCTGAACGGACTGCGCACGTGAGAACTGTAGCCCATAAAACACATAGGGATACATTGGGGTTGCTGATTGAGGCAAAAACGCACTGCACTGCAGCTAACATGCTAACAGCCCCACTCCAGCAAAAAACAAAAATTATTTTTTTTTAAACTGGAAAGCATAAACAACGCGGCCAAAACACATAGCACCGCGTCTGTCTTGCCACCCTTCCCTCATGAGAGTGGCAGTTTCAAGTCCCCTCACTGTATCTGTGTAGTGTGAGGGAAAGTTCAGTAAGGTCATGTGACCTTATGGCTTGTTGTTGAAGTCTCACTCTCCCTCAGAAACAGGCCCACCAAATAAAGCTTGAAGGATGTCTGGGGAGTATGTTTTTGAGGCAGATGCAGTGAACATTGCACTCCACACATAACAGTCTGTAACCCCATTTCGCCACCATGGTCCGCCGTTTATGATGCATTAATACCTGCTGCTAGTGTGTTTGCACACACACAGTGCTGATGCACCTATCTCGGGACAGCAGGCTTTTTTCAGGGACGCCAAACATTCTAATTTCCAGCATGTGTCAGAGTGCCCACTTACATTGCTAGGCTCCATCAGAGTGTCCCTTTAGAATGTTTAACCCCATCACTGCCTCGCATTGCAGTTTGGTAGTTTGATTCATGTTTTTGTACTGGTACATGCTGAACAAATCGGAACATGTAAATCCTGCTTTTTAGCAATTTTCATCATTTTAACAGAGAAATAACTGTTGCACTTTGCTATAGAGGTGCTTTGTAATATTGTTATTGGGTGGTTTGGCAGAGTAAACTACGATCCTGTCAGAAGGATTGTAGATTATCACAAAGGATATCATTGTGCAGCTCAGAAAACATTCCCCGCATTGCTTTCTCTTCTGATCACCCCTGAGACTTATCTCAGCCTTTCACAGCTGTTTCGTGTGATAAGTTTTCTTTTCGCAGGTTATTAAACAGCCTCTGTGCAGCTGAGAAAAACAAAGAGATCTGCTGAGTAAAGTTAACTCATGATAAATCTAGTTTTATCACGGTTTATTAAACGTACACCTTAAAGTAAATCTGTTACAAGTGAAATAACATCACAAGGTTGTAATGTAGGATTCAACAATTTAGAAATAGATTCAATAGTTTGGGCACTTTGGGGGGAATTTATCAAAACTGGAGCAGACAAAATCTGGAGCAGTTGCCAATGGCAACCAATCAGCTTCTCTCTTCAGTTTGTTCAGTTAAGCTTTGAAAATGAAAGGTGGATGCTGATTGGTTGCCATGCACAACTGCTCCAGATTTTGTCTGCTCCAGTTTTGATAAATTCCCCTCAAGGTGTTTACATTTCCAACATGTTTTGTGTTTGGCCATTGAAGATAATTATTCAACATGGCAGAATCCATAGTGAATTCTGTATTACCTTATAGCATTAATCAGAACGTGGACAGATTCAGCAGAAACATGTTACTTTATCTAATTGATTAATTGCTACATGTCTAAGGATTTCTAAGCAAAGGTCACATTGTCAAAACCTGTAGTAAGCCTTTGTAAATGTTTTAATATATCTTCAATGCATACACTGCATGCAATTTAAGTTATTGGATTTGTTATATATTAATATTAAAGATAACCCCCCAAGAGAATATCTTAATGTACAATCTAAATACTGTACATATATGTGAACTGTTCTACCTGTAAATTGGATTTTAACCTTGTTCAAACACGTTTGTGCCCAAGGTACCCCTGCCAGACATCACAGTTAGGTCCTGGACCTCCATCCAGAGTACACCGCAGGTAAGGAATACAACTTGGTCCAGGACAAATTCCAACATATGACTGAACAATGGAGAAGCAGCTGCACACTAGAGTTCATTCCTCTACTCTCATTACCTTTAAACATGTTCCTTTTTTCAGACTGTGAACTAGTGATGTCCTTACCTCTCCCAGTGTATGCAGAGGATTCTATCAAACCACTATAAAAAAGTCTTTATGCTAGTTGCATTAAAAAATATGTGGTTTTATTGAATACACACAATAGTAAATGGTGTGTTTATTTATGCATAGAGTTCAGCTTATAGAGGTTCTGCCACAGAGTGAAAAGGGGTGGAGGGTAACTGCTGCAAGTATGCTGTACAGGCACCTAGCACAAACCTGCAGAAATCTCCCAATCCCAAACCTTTCTCCCATGGTCAACTCCAGGGCAGTTCTGGTTTCTGACAGTCAAGTAGTGTGTCAGAGCAGCACCCCACACATGCCTGGTAAATCATTATGATGGACAGCCTCACTGATGTCTATGCACCCCCTTCCCACAATTACAATATTTTTTCAAAGAGAAGATCTTGGCTAGAAATTAACCTGTGGATACGCAATGACTAGTGAAGAAGGGTAGCCAAAAATTAAAGCCAACTCTTGAATTGTTACCGTCAACTGCATGCCAATTCTAGGATGCATCCAAACTGCACTGCCATAAAAACAGCATGGAGCTTATATTTGCTTAAAATGACTAAACTTGCACAGAGAGTTTAGGGATTTTGATTTTATAAAATTAGTACTTCATGATACCCTAAAACCCTGCTCAGGGATGGAGAAAAAAAAAACTCTTGCAGTGGGGGCCCCACACACTGCGAGGATTAAATGCTTGTTGGGCCAGGTGAGTACAAGAAGAGGAGATAATACTTACCTTATCCCCCACTCTGATGCTGTCCTCGTCTCCAGCTTTTGGGTGGTCCCTCTGTGTTTTCACCTAGAATGCAGGGATATTAACCCTGCACAGTAAATGGAGAAGACAGGCATGGGACCAGGGCCAGAAGCGCGTTAGAGATAAGGCTATGTAGGAGCGGTCGCAAAGATGGAGGGAGCCTACAGGAGCAAGGAGTAAGGTAAGTATTACTTCTTATCCTTGCACCCCTAGATTTAATGAGCATTTAAGGGAGCCTACAGGAGCAAGAAGTAAGTATTACTTCTTATCCTTGCACCCCTAGATTTAATGAGCATTTAACCCTTGCAGTGTGTGTGTGGGGGGAGGGGGTACAAGGGATTTTTTTCCTTGTGCCCGGAGTTGTACTCCTAATATAAGTGAATTTAGGCTACTTTTAGCTGATTAAATGAACTCCTTGTGAATATCCTTGCATATGAAAAGGAATATTTTTAAATGCAGCAAGTCATTTGTATATTGTACAACATACTATTAATGACATTTACCGTCTTTTGTATTAAAACATTACAAGTAAAACCAAAGTGCAACCAATCAAATTCCTACTCTGTCTTCAATAAAATATGATCCGATTGGTTGCTATGGTTACTGCTTTTGGCACTTTGCACTTTATTCCTTGCACTTGAAAAAGCCCAATAACGTGTACCTATGTTTGCAGTCACTAGACAATGAAATGCATCACGTTGGTGCTCAGTGTGTGGCAACAGTTACAAGAACATCTGCCGTCTCTATATTTAGCGAGAAGTGCAAATTTGTAATCTACTCATTCACACAAAGCACATAAGGAGCATTTCTCCAGATGTGTTCTTTAACATCTCTTCCTGCTCTGTAAGGTCATTTGCAGGTCTCTGCATGTTAACTCTTTTACAACTTCACTTGGCAGAAGTGTGCAGTGGAAGCCCTATATGGGATGCTGCAGCATTGAATGGGTTTAGTGATGGAAACACCTCTCAAGTTTCAGAAAGGGGCTGGGATTTAATACATGCCAAAGAATTCCCTATTTAAGAACACTGCAAGGGAATCTCTGTGGCTATTTTCTGTTTTTTAAGGGCCCATCGTTGAAGGGAAATAGGGAAACAATTGATGGTGCTAATTTGAGACGATTTTTTTTTTACATTTCATCCCCAAGTCTGCACTTAGAGTCTCATGTCTAACATTTAGACATGATGAGCTTTGTGCAAATAACCTCCCTGCTCTGCATCCTTGCAGTGGCTTACCCGTCCCTTGTTTTGGCACAGCAGCAAGGTGAGTAATTGTCACAATTCTATATTCTTCACTCACCTTACTGTTCATAACTGCTCAGATAACTACGAGTCCGAATGCAAGTTGCTCTAAAGGGAAAGCAAAATCTTTTTAAACTTATGTATTTGTTTTTGGAATGCCGTACTACCTAGTTCAGTGATTACAACAAGTTTTTATGTTAGTTAATATCTACTCCTTTTGCAAAGCAGTACATGAAACTTAAAAGAGCAACAGGCTGCAGAGGACTTTAGATGTACTTGTCTGATGCAGATGCAACATCCTTCTACATCCCAGTGTAATCTGACCTTGCCCTAACAACACCGTCAAGGCAGAGAGGGACCAAACTTTAACAATGTGCAGTCATGTGCTTAACAATCCTGGTGCTACCCTGCTGGAGTCAAAACTATTTTATACAAAGACTTTTGGCATTATTCAGTAACAGTGTACAGTGTTTCTTTGTTTTTGTTTTACTTTTTTTTCTTCAAATGTTGATAAACTAATATACCTTCCTTATTTGCAGTTTTAGTACAGCACTCCCTTAAGAAAAAGAGGCAATTTGTTTTTTAGAGGCAATGCTTAACCAAAACTTTTTTTAAGATGCACAAAACATTTACAATGCAGCATGCATGTTGTGGCTTGATTTGTTGCAAACATGGTTTATTTACGTAAATGTGATATGGAATATTAATGGAAGATACTTACAATGGGAAAATGTTCACGCACCCTTTTTCATTCTAATCATTACACAGTATTTATAGCATGGTAAAGTGTTATGAAAAGCAGCTGCAAATATCTAGGAGGTAATTTCAAGGGAAATGTAGCAAAAGTTAGAACTAAAGGGAATTTGCACTTTAGCAGCTAAATTGGGACAACACCTAGGGGGGGATTTATCAACACTGGAGCAGACAAAATCTGGAGCAGTTGCCCATGGCAACCAATCAGCTTCTCTCTTCAGTTGGCTCGGGTAAGATTTGGAAATGAGACAGAGAAGCTGATTTGTTGCCACGCACAGCTGCTCCAGTTTTTTTCTGCTACAGTTTTGATAAATCCCCCCACTACTATACCTGTTACATGTTCTCATTCACATAGCATAACATAAAAGGATATTAAACAAATTCTGCTTCTATTTCAAGAGTTTTTTTCTTGCTTAAAAATCCTACCTAGTTTCCCCCATATGTCATTTTAAGAGGGTCTGGGGATTTCATGTTTACTATATTCAACCCTGTCTGAACTGTGCTCCCAGATTTCATTGGCATTTGCAAAATAGACGAACATATTGAAGGGAATTTATCAAAACTGGAGCAGACAAATTCTGGAGCAGTTGCCCATGGCAACCAATCAGCGTCTCTCTTTCTTAATCTTAACTGAACAAACTGAAAAGAGAAGCTGATTGGTTGCCATGGACAACTGCTCCAGATTTTGTCTGCTCCAGTTTTGATAAATTCCCCCCAATGTTAAAGATCTAGAAGCATTGTCTGGAGGACTGACCCTCCTTTTTCAAACTGTTCAGAGTACTGTTCAGAGTAGTTTACAGCTCTGCACAATGCGCCCCTCCAAATAAATATCTAAAAGGTAAAACATTGAATAAAAATGTTTATTTTTAGGTATGGTGTGTAAACAGGAAAACATAAACATAAAGTAGGGTTTTCTCAAATTTGGCTGAAAAAGAGGAAATACACTTTGAAACTGTGAACTGATTCTATAAATCTGGTACCACCGTCCCCTAAAGATGTCATTAGCAGTAGTAACATTAGTAGGGTACATTAGTATTGTCTGAGTTGAACATTTTGCAGCTCAATATTATTATTTAAAAAAAACTAAGGCAAAATCACATTATGAACGTTGTCATCGAAAGCCCACAGCTTTTATTCAAATGTTAGACCACAAGTAAAACATCTTTAAACTCACAAATGCTATTGCATTCTCCACATGTATGGATATTTGAATGTTATTATAGTAAAGCACTGCTACCTACATGAACATGTTTCTCCAAGTTTTCATCCCAGCAACTGGCTCTTTGTGTTAAATCACAGCGCAGGATTAATTTGTCATGACTGGCTGTAACATTTTCCATGTAGTCATAACTTGCTCTAGGCTATGAATATTCATCCTATGTTGTAACAGCTGGAAGGGACTGTGTAAAGTATTCCCTCTGTAGTCTGCAAAAGCTGGCAATGTACAAAATATG